AGTAAAAGCTTCTCTAAAAAAAACACTGTATTAAAAGAATGAAAAAAACAAGCCACAGACTAGGAGAAAACATTTATAAAACACATATCTGGTTAAGAACTTATATCCAAAATGTACAAAGAACTCTCAAAACCCCATAATAAGAAAACATGCAACCCAACTGGGCAAAAGATCCAAACAGACACCTTACCAAAGAAAATACAGATGGCAAATAAGCGTATGAAAAGATGCTCAACATCATACGTCAATTAGGGAATCCCAAACTAAAACAACAATGACACACCTATTGGACCAAAATCCAAAACAGTGACAACACCAAATGCTTGCAAGAATGTGGAGCAACAGGAACCCTCATTCATTGCTGGTGGAAATGCAAAATGGTACAGCCACTTGGAAAACAGTTCGACAGTTTCTTACAAAACTAAACTTAGTCTCACCCTATAATCCAGCAATCATGCTTCTTTGGTATTTATCCCAATAAGTTGGAAATTACAGCCACATAGAAACCTGCATTTGAATGTTTATAACAGCTTATCATAATTTCCAAATGGTGGAAGTAACCCAGATGTCCTTCAATAGGTCAGTGGATAAACACACTGTGGTATATCCACATAACGGAATAGTATTCGGTGACAAAATCAAATGAACTGTCAAGCCATGAAACAACATGGATGACGCTTGAATTCATATTATCGCTAAGTGAAAGAAACCAGTCAGAAAAGGCTACATATTTTATGATTCCAACTACGTATGACATTCTGGAAACGGCAAACTATAGAGACAATAAAAAGCTCAGTGGTTGCCAAGGTTTCCAGGGGAGGAAAGGATGAGTAAGTGCAGTAAGAGGATTTTTAGGGCAATAAAACTGTTCTGTATAAGACTGTAGTTGTGGGCATGTGACATAGTAATACAAGATGATGCATGGCACTATGAAATGTGGTCCATACAAATATACGTTTATCCACATGTATTTGTCCAAATATACAACACAGAGTGGGCCCTAATGTAAACTAAGACTTTATTAAAATAATATATCAATATTAGTTCATCACTTGTAAAAATGTACCACACTAATGTAAAACTTAATAATAGGGAAATTGGGGGGTGGGGAAGTATATAAAGGAAGTCTTTGTACTTTTTTTCTATAAACCTAAAACTACTCTAGAAAACAATCTATTAATGTATATATTTTTACATGGTATTATATATAATGATATAATGTTTCACTGATGGCATTTCAAAATCTTTTTTATATTGCAATGTGCACTGTTGGTGAGGATGAAATCTATTTTTCACTCAAGGCTAGTTATCTTTTTAAAAATTACATATATATTTATACATATAAGTGTATATATAATTTTGGGGGGAGGGTGTGTAACTGCTTTAAAACCTCTATTGTTTCTCAGTGCCCTCTACAAAAAAATATATATATATATATTTACTCCCATGCTTGTTGACCAGAGCAGTGCCTAATATATAGTAGGTACCCCATAAATATTTGTTAAATCAATGTTGAATGATATGTCAGATGTTGAACATAGATGACTACCTATGAATGCACTAAAATGTGCTATCATCTATCCCATACATATTTCTCCATCTTACTTATAAGGCTATAACAGGTGTTACCAAGTACTTTGCTGATATCAGGATACAATGTGCCTATGGCATTCTACTACATCAGACCAATAACTCTAATCTTAGTTCAGCTTGTTCGAGAGTAAGTGGAAAAAATAATAATGACAGTTAAACAGTAAAGGGCACATGAGATGTGGATTAAAAGGCACAGTTATTCATTTAAATTCTATTTCCCCAGTGTTCTTAAAAGCAAAATAAAGATTTGTTTGAAGTTATCTGGAAGGCTTTTCAAAGTTCTAGGTAGTATGGTTATTAATACTGCCCTAACAATATTTTATTATTATTATTCTTTAACAAAGGGAACAACTATTAACTTCACCTTCGCATAAACTCTGAGCATCTATCTGAAAACAGCCCACTGAGCTCTGTCTGCTCAATTGTGAAGAAATATTAAAAGCCATCAGATCGACTACAATATCAGTATACTGGTGTTACAAATACCCAGTTATCTGTATTAATTGTAAGCCCCACAAATAAAATAAAAACAATGAAAAGATGCTTATGAGGCATTAAGGCTTTGAGAACCTGATTTCAATGAGCTACTAAGAAATGAAAATTCATTAAATTCTGTACTTAACAGAAGGGTTAAAATTTGCCACGACAGGGAATTACTACTTAATAGCACCATCTTAGCTTCCGTTCTTGGTTTGACAAGACTGTGAGAAATTATGCCAAAATTGGCCTATCAAGAAATGATGCTGCATTGCAGAAGCACATGTTTTCAGGCTATGCCAGACTGGACGTTGCCCCGGAAACTGGCTTCTGCTACGGCTAGAACGGGAAGTCGACCTTCCTGAGGCAAGGTCGTTTCAGAATTCTTTATCCCTGGCCCTGAGGTCGCTTCTGCTTTCCTGTCTTCTACCCACTGCCCCAGTTTGATCTCATTTTTTGTTGTCCCTGATTCCCAGATGTTTACTTGAGTTTGACTTCCTCACTATCTAGACAGAAGTAAAAAAAAAAAAAAAACCAATAACCTCAAAGATGTTTGGTTTTACCAATATAGTGCTTTATTTAACCAGTGTTTTAAAAACCAGATATAGCTCATAAAGATCTATATTTACAGTTTTTTCTTTTTGAAAACTTGGAATAGCTGGTATTACTGAAGCCATAGTCCCTCATAAAGCCATCAATAGAGCAGAGTGGCTACGACTCACTGAACTGGCACGTGTGTTCTCCAGTTTGCCACAATCCCCTCTATTCCCTCTTGCCCCAGCACTGAAGCTGAGTATTCATTTTCATTTTCCACCAGGCTTTTATTTGTTCTTTCTTTATGGTAGGGAAGTATTTCTCTCTTCCCATGAGAAGTGGCAAAACAAAAGATATAATAAGAGCTTTATTTATGATAAGAACATCAAGAAAGCTTCTTTTCAGCCGGGACCAACACCTTCCAGTAATTCGTCAAAATGACCAACACAAAGGGAATGAGGAGAGGTATCGGCTATGTGTTCTCTGGGCCTTTTACAAAACATGGAGTTGTTCCTTTGGCCACAGACTTGCAAACCTACAAGAAAGGTGATATTGTAGACATCAAGGGAACAGGCACTGTTCAAAAAGGAATGCCCCACACGTTACCATGGCAAAACTGGAAGGGCTATAATATTACCCAGAATGCAATGGGCATTGTTGTAAACAGACAAGGGCAAGGTTCTTGCAGAGAGAATTAATGTAAGCATTACGCATAGTAAGCACTCTAAGAGCCGAAATAGCTTCCTGAAATGTGTGAAGGAAAATGATCAAAAAAAGAAGGAAGCCAAAGAGAAAGGTACCTGGGTTCACAAACCTGCTCCACCCAGAAAAGCACACTTTGTGAGAATGGAAAGGAGCCTGAGCTGCTGGAACCCATCCCCTAAGCATTGGTGCCATGATAGGTGTAAGAAAATAAGAGGCCGCTGTACTGTTACAAAAAAGAATGTCAAGAAAAAATATACACTATAATTCTTGGAGGAAGCGAAGACAATTTCTAGGTGTTTAATATGCAAAGTGAGTGTGCATGCAAAGAACAGACCCTGCTCATTTATTCTGTAATATTTCATATCTAATCCCTACAGCCATTGGAGTCTGCCAGTTCCTGGTCTGGTTCTCCAGCATCTGGGTGTCCTGGGAGCGTGTATCATGCTCTGGATCTATCCCCCAGTCCTAGCTGGCTGCCTAATTTCTTTAATCCACTACTGCCTACAGACCAGGAGAGGCAGGTCCTACATCTAAAAGTTGAAGGTTCTGGGGGCTGTAATTGCACATCCTCATTTGCCTGCCTCACTGTCTGCAAAGAAGCTGATGCGTATAGATGGGCCATAACATCGCCTTCTCATTTAACAATAAGTTCTGTATATTCAGATATTCTCAGTATAAAATAACCTGGATAGCCTACCTCAGTTTCCTCCCTCATTTTTTCATCTTCCTTGTAATTGAGATTAAGTATAGATTATGCTGTAACCATCCACCAATTCAGCCAATAGTTTGGTTTTTTGTTTTTAATAAAAAAGAACGAAGGGGGAGAGGGAAGGAGGGAGAAGAAAGAAAAAGAAACAAAAACCACCCTCAGTAAATGTTAATCATAATATTATCAGTAGTTGGCATCAGGCTGTAGTTTTTCTCTACCGCCTCTCTCCTTGGTAATTCCTTCAGCCTACTGGAGACAAGGCAAAGAATCACTTCTGTTTTCTGCACTCTATATGAACGGATTTAAAAATCCTAGATTTTTTAAAGGCCTTTATATGTTGGAAAGGAAGGTGAGGAAATAGATCTGAGTGTGACTGTGAGTTTGCTCCATCTCCACCTTCCACTCTGCACCCTCAAATGCCAATACCCCTGGTGACTAGATGGCTTAGCCAGTATGTGCTCCCCCTTTGTAGCCAGGTGTCTGAAAAGCCAGGGACTTTTACAGACTGACCCAGAAGAACTGGAGCTGGAGCCAACTTGGCGGCATTGGAGTAAAATGCAGGAAGGGGCTTTGGGATATTAGCAGACCATTACCAAAAATCTCATTAGGAGAGGGTATAGCTGAGGTTCTCTTGGTGCTTTCTAGCTGAGGGCCTTCAGGAGAACATCTTCGCGGGTCCTAGGAGGTACCCTGTGGTCAAAGCACCACAAAATAAAGGGACTTGAGCCTGAAGGTGACAGATTGAGGGCTAAATGTAAAATAAATGATGAGGGGAATCCCAGTGTTGGTTTGAATAAGCATGTTGGATTGGTTGAGAGGAAGTGGGGAATCTGGCAGACTATACTAATGAGCTCCTGAAAGAGGAAGAAGACCTGAGCCACCTCCACAGAGCAAGCTGAGGCCACGGGCATGCCCTCCAGCTGGCTGAGGCTGCTGCCCCCACCCAAGCCGGCTGACGGAAGTGCTGTCTCTCTCCTGATAGGACAAGAATGACCCAGCAGATCGGCAAGGGGTCAAGAGGAGCTCACCCCTGCCTCTTCCTCCTCTTAGCACGGGGGAGAGTGGGGCATACCCACTGACCTCTCTTCCTCCCTCCTCTGGACTAAGCGCTGAAGGGACATGACAGTAAGGAAATCGTCCTTTCATGAACATGTAAGTATGCATTCCTCATTATCAGACACAACCACAGGTAAAGAACTTGCATCAGGCTTGTGAGCCGGGTCCTGGACCCTGGCCATCAATGATACACCCACTCCCTTCAGACATCCACTAAGAGAACTTATTCAGATAAAACATTTTGGGGTTTTTGGTTTTTTGTTTGTTTGTTTTCATTTAAAGAACTAATAAGCTTCTTCTCTAGTTTTCTTTAACAAACTAAACATACGACTGGCAATGTTTGCAGATTTGTCTTTGTCTACTTCCTCCTAAAATTTAAGTCTGTGGTTAATCAAGCTCTGCCAAAAAGTTTCTCCTTCAGCCTGTCGGTTAACATAGCTCTCCGAATAATACCCCACATTTTGTTACTTTCTTTCTGAGTAAAAGCAATCAGAATAAAATGTAAGTAAATGAGGTACAAGTGTTCCCTGCGTCTTTAGTCCGTGACTCCACCCAATGTCAAGGACCTCTGAGCCTGCTGTCTGTCACCAGACACACACCTGAAACCAAAGCAGTGACATGTTAAGTGACGGGGCTTGGTGCTGTTAGCTCAGTGCCAGCCTTTGTTCCCCTACAGGCAATAACGAAATAGCCTGCTTGACTTTGCCACAATGTCTTAATTTCCGTTTATATCACCATTCTCAATGTGGCACCACTGTAGGCGTGGAAGTGGCTCCTGTCCAGGAGGCGATGAGGGCCCAGGTGTTGGGGGTGGGCAGAGAGCAGCAGGAGGCTGATGTGGGCTGGATCCAGACCTCACTACCTCCTACCTAACTGGCCTGGGGCAAAACCTGACCCCCTGGGAAGCCTCTTCCCTCATTTCTTATTCCTCATGGAGACAGGAATACCTACCCAGCAGGGTGGTTTAAAAGGTAACAGCTGATGGACATGTGATGTCTGGCATGTAGCCTCCCAGTAAATGATAGCAATAATTACTATTGTTGATTTTGTAGAGTTAATACACTTAAAGTGCTCAGAATAGTATACTCAGTAAGTGTTCGTTTTTATTTATTGAGATCCAAAGGAACTCAGATGTCTGTCAATTGGGGACCTTCAGGCCTCACAGCAGCAAGGCTGTGTATTTGGCTAACATGCCTGATTAAGAGGAGGCAGGAGGTTTGGCATTTTCAGAAAGACTTTGACGTGATTTAACAACCTAAATGCAGTCTGTGAAAGGGAAGTGAAATCAGATGATCTGCATCTTAGAGCAAAAATTGCAGGTTACAGAATGGGGTGGAGGAAGAAAAGAACATATGTGAGAAGATAAATTAGGAAGCACAGCAGTATTTCAGATCTGAGCTAAGGCAGAGACTATTGGAAGAGACGCGGACCGAGCAGAGAACATTTAGAAGATAGAATCTACTCTGCTCCTGGTGAATGAAGGCAAGGAAGGAATCACAGATGATCTTGCAATTTCTGTGCTGGAGCAATTAAGTGAACATTGACTTCACATTCTGAAAGGAGGCACAAGCTTGAGGAATGAGATAATTAGTTTAGAATTTATTTTAAATTGGATCCTGGCATAGTCACAGAGTACATTCAACCAGCAACAAAGAGACATTTTTTTATTCTTAGCTATTTTTGTCATGTATTTTAAAACTACCTCATGATTTAACTAGCATGCATCACCAAGAATAAATGCATATATAGGAAACAAACAGAGTCTCTTGTTCTGATACCAATATACAAGTATTGGTACTGTCACACAGCACTTCAAAATCATGACTACGAAAATAGAATACTGACAAATGAGTCAAAGGTTTGTAAGTCATAGGTTAATTAAATTGGTAAACATCAGATTCAGATATGTGGAAGTAATTCCTGGTTCTCCATCTTCATTTATTTAAATGTATTTCAGAGATTCAACATCGAACTATACTATATATACTATATACTATATAGTATATACTATAGTATATATAGTATATATATAGTATATATACTATATATACTATATAGTATATAGTATATATACTATATAAGGAGAGAAATGGCTTAAAGGAGAAAGAAAGGAAGGCAACAAAGAAAGTTGTAACCAGTAACATTATTTGTGCAAATAATTTGGAAAAATGTTTAGAGCCTGGTACTTTACCAGAAGAATGGAATAGTGTTCTACAATTGTTTTATAAAATAAATGATACAATTTGGGTCAGTCGTTTTATTTACAAAGCAAATATCCATCTGAAAAGAGTCTGACCAGAAGCCACTTTTCACAGTGCTATTTGCAGTAAATTTTTTTAAAACCCTTTCAGAAATAGAAGAGATACCCTAACGTAGGCCATAATTGCATTTCCAACATTGAATTATAACCACCTACTTCTGTTTTTCCCTCACTGACTGTGAGCTCCTGAACACACAGACCATATTTCACTCAGCCTCATATCCTGGGTGTCAACCGCTGCGTCTGGCCAATGGAGGCACTCAGCGAGAGTTTATCTAATGAAAAGAAGAGTAGCGTGCATCAAAAACATTAAGCAATTTCTACCTCCCTGGACAAAGCCAAGTGCATTTCAGGAACTGTGCAATTAATATCATTTAAAATATTGGAGCTTATTCTTTATAAATGTATGACTGAATTTCAGATAGCTTTGAAAATAAAATCATCACATCCATAGTCTCACCTTGCAAATATATGAAGGGTCAGCATTTTGGTTGTAGCAAAAATATAGTGCTATCACTGTTAGAATTAATTTATAATTCCACTTACAAGCATGCATTTTTTTTCAAATATACAGATTTTTTTTTTTTTTTGGAGGGCAGTGTCACTGGCCCTCATATGTGGGATCCGAACCGGGGCCCTCTGGCATCCCAAGCCAGCTCTTAATCATCGCGCCACTCGGCCGGCCCNGAGGGCAGTGTCACTGGCCCTCATATGTGGGATCCGAACCGGGGCCCTCTGGCATCCCAAGCCAGCTCTTAATCATCGCGCCACTCGGCCGGCCCATCAAATATACAGATTTTAAAAACTGACAATGTTGTGGATAGCACTATCAAATATGACAAGTTGAGGGGGGAAAGGCATTTTAAAGAGAAATTTTTAAAATGCAGGTCGTGAATGGGAAAGGGAAAGGAAAATCCTTTGCCTCTCTGATTAGGAGAGAGATCATGCTCCTAGCATATTTCTGGTCTAGGATAAGGCTTCTTTATTTGCATAGTTTATGCTAATGTGTATTGAGGAAAGGAAAATTTGTTGTAACCAATAAATAGCAACGTCAACTAACTGGTAACATAAAACATGAATAGAGTATCTGAGAGCCAGTGCCTCTTATAGATGTGGTAATCAGGTAACCTTTAGAGAACTGGACAATGGAATATTATACAGCCTTAAAGAAGGAAAGTCTATCACGTACTGCAACATGGATGAACCTTGAGAACATTATGCTAAGTGAACTAAACCTGTCACAATAAAACAAATACTGTATGATTTTTTTCTATGAGGTATCCAAAGCAGTCAAATTCATAGAAACAGAAAGTAGAATGGTGGTTGCCAAGGGCTGGGGAGAGGGACAAAGAAAGTGTTGTTTAATGGATATAAAGTTTCAGCTGTGCAAGATGAAAAAGTTCTAGAGATTGGTTTCACAATGTGAATATACTTAACATTATTGAACTATACAGTTAAAAATAGTTAAGATGGTAATAAGATAGAGAGGAGGGAGGGAGATAGAGAGAGAGAGAGATAGAGAGAGAGAGAGAGAGAGAGAGAGAGAGAGAGAGAGAGAGAGAACTGAAATCAGAAAACTATGCCAATGGTTTGCAGTCTTTTAATAAAATTTAATATTATTTATAGGTGAGGGACATTGCTTAATAATTCATGGCTAAATTTTTCTAAGGTATTAAATTATTCTTTGTGAAAAGTCTTATAACTTTTTTTTTTCTGAAATTCATGCACTGTGACTCTGGGACTGTGGGACTGAGACTCAGGAGGCCAGTTCTTAATCCGAGCTCAGCTATCAGCCTGGCTGTGTGATTCAGGGGAGCTGCTTGACTTCCCTGTGCCTCAGCTTGGCCTAAGGATGATCTCTGTCATCCCCCCACTTTCAGATCCTGTTTCTGCAGGCCCCAGTCTGCAGGCACCAGCCACAGGGCACTTTTCAGTGGTAGCCATTTAAAGTATACTTTTTATATTACCAAATTGGTAATATAATTTAGTCATTATTTTATATTACTAAAGCATGGATGTACGTATGTGTATACTAGTTCCTAGAATAAATCGAGCATTTATTAAATGCCTAGCACTTTACATAATCCATGTCTACTGCTGGAATTGGGCCAGAGAGTATAATAACTCTCCCAGTCACACAGCTCGGAGGTTATGTACTTGGAACTCTGAACTCTACGTTTCTGCCTGCAAAGGCCATGCTCCAAACCACAAGCTAAACTGGAGCAGAATAAAGAACTTGCATAAAAAGTCAGAATTCTAAGGACGTTCATAGAAAACGTTTAAGAAATCCTAACAGAATGGGGTCTTTTATAGATTCACGCCTCTAATTCCTGGTGAAACCACCAGTTTGGCTCTTCTCAATCCGTCACCTCTCAAATCCCAACAACTCTAGCCTAGCTCCTCAACAGCAAAGTTTGCATGTACTGACTCAGTGCAGTATTTAGTTCAGTTACTAAGTTGAACTCGCGAGAAGTTTTAATTCTGTGTCTCAGAATTCTTAATATACTATCAGAGAAGTCTTTGTGCTCCAATAGAAATAAATTATTCACGTGTGCTTGAAAGTGCTAAATGCAAGTGCTTTGAAGAGAAATTATCAAGAATATGTAGACTGTTTCCAGTCATACAAGCAAAGAAAACACATACTGGAGGTGCCAAAAAAATGTATACAACTGGACACTTTGGTCAACGTTGCTCAAGCAGTAGTTGGCTGTAATCAGAAGTGTCTGGACGCTTATGGTAACCACTTTGAGCACCTCTTATAATTGCAGAAGTCAAACGTGACTTGTATTCATCTTTTGTTATTGGTACATATTGAGTATTACAATTTTAATACAGT